TCGTCCAAACTGGACAAAGTAAAACCTTTCAAGTTTTCATGACAAGTGAAGTTCACCACAGGTTCTCTGTCATGTTTGGAGGTGGGGGAGTATTTAGCTGCAACATGAAACCTCACCTCTAGATGTCACTGAATTCTACACACTGAACCTTTAAGGCTGCTACACACTTGAGGATAATCGGGATGAATTTAGATTTGATTTTCACCTTCTGACCATCGATCACTCGGTGCCGATTATCTGCCCAAATAATCCTGACGTGTTGGTTTACAAGATAATCTTAGAGGCTCCCCGATCTCGAATCATGAACATGGAAGTGTCACAAACCAGATGTTGTGTACTTTTACAGCTGTGACTAAACACAACAACAAAACTCTCCTTCAGAGCACAGATCAAAGGAAACATGATCAAACACATGAAGCTTCAGACAACAACGACTGGGATTACTGTGGAACTATCGGTCCTGGAGAGTGTGAGTATTCCCAGACAAGCGCAGCAAACGACAACCAGGTAATTCAAGAGTGATCTGTAACAGGAGGGACGACGACAACAACAACAGAAGAGTAACTTTCGAAGATGTGGAAAGTCAAAGTAACATCAAAAAACCCAAGAAAAACTTGTTCATTGAAGCGTTAGACCTAATTAACAAATGGGACAACCAGGGCTTGACTGAGCAGGCCAGATTCGAGTTGATTAAATCGAAACATCTTCGCATTGACAACCAGGGACTGATCAACAGGGACAATCAGCGGTATCACAACCTGGAAATCCAGTTCAACCAACAACACGGTCGCAGAGAGAGCACTGTGGCACACCTCATAGTTCCTGTTGACACGTCAGCTGAATACATGCGTCTGGCCTTCAGGGAGAGTTTAGAGGGCCAGGTCAGGGTGGAGATAGAGGTAGACAACGAACCAACCCCCTCCCCAAACACCAAAAAAATATAATTATTATAACTCAAACCGTTGATTATCAAACATTAACAAACACAATGTGGCAGAATGAGTCAACATGAAGTTTATTCTCAACAGCCTGATTAATAATCACTCGTCAGATAATGAGTTCGTATCCGTCTGTGTGTTCTTGTGTGAAATTGTGACAACAATCACAATTAGCTTTTGTATGTTTGTATCAGAATGATCAATCTAAACAGATTCAAATATATAAATCCTAGTTATAAAAAGCTTGTTGATACTGAAAAGCAGGAGACAACCTGCCGTACCTCAGCTCAGGGTAAATTAAGAGACAATATGGACACTGATGGATACGAACAAAACCCCAACTCACATTTTGAGATGTGCCACATCTGAAGTGCAGCAGAATTCATGTTTAAAACAGTTAAAAACAAAAACTGTAACAGCTCATAGTGAGGCCCGTCTGAGTTAATGAAGTGTTTCCAACTCTTTCAGCCTCTAACATCTCGGTACACGTTAAAAGATTCATCATCGCATTCACAGATTTGTCTGCACTTTACAAATACTGGTGCAAGGTGAGATTATTTTGAGGATTACTTCTGCATTATGTCACAAAGATGTCTGACCCTCTTTATATTCAGTCTATGGTCTGGACCTCACATTTTCAGGGTGGGGTTCCCACTGCTCAGTCAAGCTGGAGACAATATGAAGCAGGAGGAACCAGATGTTCTAGGGTTTGTCTTCAAAATAATACTTCATGTGTGAAATCAATGTGAGCAAAAGTATACTACTTGTTCAGAATAGTATATATTTTAGGTAAAGAATATAATATATCATAGTAAGTAAAAAATGTTTAAAAAACGAATACATTTTAACAGCATATGTAAATGATTTTAAGGAGGCGTCAAGATGAAAACAGTTTAACGTGTTGTTGTGCTAAAAACCTTGTCATTCCTGCTTTGCCGGCTGGTGATGGTTGTTTTTGTGTTTGACCTTTGACCTGCACCTGTTTAGACCAAATAAATCCACCTGTATGTAAACATTTCTGCGTGGGAAGTTCGCACTAAGAACTGTCTTCACCTCCTGCCAAATATTTGAAGTATTGACACTAAGGAAATGTTTCGGTCGGATCTCTGCAGGACGTTTTGTGTCATATTAGTCTGAATATAAAAATATATCTGAAAATGTGAGAAGAATCCAATTTTTTCAAATAACTGACACTGTTGTTTTTCTTCCTTTTCATCAACTTCCTCTTCTTCTTGTTTATCAGTTTTATTTTGCTGCCTCTACTGAGGTTATATTTTTAAACACAACTACTACTTTACAGCCTTCATGGTGTATATGTTTTATTTACCTGTGATAAATAAAGGATTCTTTATAATAAATGTGAAGAGGACATTATTTAGTCTTTCATATAAGGAACTGATCTTCACATAAATTATATTTTATCAAAGAGGCATGACCTCAGTGTTCCTAAAAAGTGCGGACATCAGTAAAAGTATAAACATGTAAACACAACAGTGTATGAACAGTGTACAGATTACCATTGAATTGCACTGATAGAAATAAGTATTACACAGTTAAATGACTTAAACCTGAGTTAAACCTGATATGGAGCAATGGGTCTGAAATAAAACCAAATACATTTATTATTGTAGACACTAAAGTAGGCTGAGTTGGGATGGTTTGATAATCCAGCATTTTTAGGGTGTACAAAACAGAGAAAATGATCTTCTCTGTTCAGTTTAGGCCTTTTTCTCTGCTGTTCTCCCATGGTTCCCTCTCCTTCCTGATAATAATACCTTTATTTATAAAGCACTTTTTGAAACAAATACAAGGCATGTTGTTGTATATTGTGGATTCTTCCTCAGTGTGTAAGATTTTTCTTTTGTCTGTTTGTTCTTTGTTTGTCTTTTTAACGCCAACCTGCCTGGGACTGAACATTTAATCCAAGAGACTAACTCCTGTACATTTACATGAACCATTGTTCTCATATTCACTCATGTACACTGTCCATTTTAAATACATACAAGACAAGAAGCAAATTGAACCATTTAAAGTCGTAAAGACTTCAGGTGATTTGATATAAAGTCATTTTAAAGTGAATGCAAAAGGAAACCAGGCGTTTTATTTTGAAAAGCGGAAGTGTCTGGAGGAGAAATCCGGAGATCACCGGGAGACTTCGGCTCCGCTCGGGGAATCATCGCCGGACCGTGTGGTGGAGAAGTGTCCGTTAATTCTACCGTTTTCTGGGGAGCGGCTGAATGATTGAGCTACAATCTTCAATGAGTAAACACACTCCAGTAAGTCCCGTCTCCTGGCGGCTCACGCGGCGTCCATCTTGACTTCGCTCCTCCGCCGTGAATCTGGAGCTGCTCGTCCCCAGCTGGCCTCCGGGCTGTCGGGGGGGGAAATCACGGCCTGCTCGGGACTAACTCGGGTCAAAATCCCGGCGAGTCTAACGTTTAACATTGGGCCTCTCGGTGGTGACCGGAGCGGGCTGACCCGGGGTTTGTCCCGGTGGCTCCGCTGCGGTTGAAGCTCCGGGTTGTCTGCGTAGTGAGGAGCATGAGGACGCCGCTGTCAGATGCGCAGCTGCCGGGCAGCTCCCGGCTCTCACGCTCGGCGCAAACATCGACGTGTCGTAACGTGAAATACCTGAAAATGGCGACGGACGTTTCCTCCGTGGTCGCGGACACAGTCGAGCTGTTGTCTGCCGTAGCGAGGCGTCGTGTGTGCGGCCCGAAGGAGGCGGAGAGTCGGTGCAGCCCGGAGCTGCTGCCTGCAGGCCTGAGATGATGATGGCGGCCAGCGTCGCACACAAAGGAGGCTGAACACCGAACCCCCGTGTGAAACCTGTCCGTCCTCCGTGTCTCCTCTGCATGTCTCCTCTACATGTCTCCTCTGCATGTCTCCTCCGTGTCTGCCTCATTTTTTTTTTTTTAATCGCCTCCTCTATCCGCGGTTTTCATATGTTTCTACCGAAATGCAGAGTTTGAGCCGGAAAATACCGGATCGACGTCGGAGCGACTCCGGTTTATTTGGTGCGAGGAGCTGCAGAGGTGCACATCTGCAGAGGTGCACATCTGCAGAGGTGCACATCTGCAGAGGTGCACATCTGCAGAGGTGTCCCTGCTGAGGCCTGTGAAAACATCCAGGGGGTTTAAAATGTGAGAGGATCGGGTGAAGCCCAGGTGAAGGTGCTGAGCTCAGTTCACACAGATGTGACCCAGGTGTCAGAGCATCTTCTCTGTTGTGCTCAGCAGCCATCAGACATCACACAGAGCTGCAGTCATCAGAACATCCAGGCAGGTGGAGTAATAATCACATTACACTCAATGGCCCTCAGAGAGGTCGTGTCTCTGCCAGAGATCTGACCAGATCTGGATTTTATTTGGATCTGCACCATGTGGCCTGGTGGGAAATCAGCCCCTTCAACGTGCATGTTGGTTTTCATCTCGGCCCGTGACGTTCTCACTGGGAGGTGGTGAAATGTTTTTCCCGTCTATAGGACTGAGCAGACATGTTATCGTCAGTGTTGAAACATGGAGTAAAACTCAGGATGGCCTCAGGCACATTCATTCAAATACATATTTTAATAGAGATGAGAGAAGAAAGTCACCTTTTTGTTTCTTCTCTGTTTTTGTCGCTTGGTTTCAGTTTGAGTGGGTGGTTGATGTGGTGGGGTAGTGCCTTGCTCATCAGCGTGTTAGTGGTGACTGACACTGGTTTTTAGTGATCTCTCAGGAAAGAACGCAGGAGTTCGACCTACCTGTTTTTCAGTGTAGAAGGAACTTGTCAATAGAAAATACACCCACACACTTTATCATTTTAACACAAGTGTTATTGCTTCCTCACGTTGTGCTGGTTCTGGACCAGCATCAGCGCCGGTGTTGGACTAAACTCAAGAGATTAAAGTTGAATCAAAGATATGACAAATCTCATGAACGGTGTTGGAAAAAACACCCAACACATTTAATTTATAATATTGTGAAAATAGAGAAAATCCAATAGACGCTCACATTTCCAAACTGACAACAATTACATTTCAACTCTTTGTTTGCTCACCTGTTTGAAACGTGGATTAACGCGACTGAAAAGTCAAATGATCAACAGAAGTTCACTTGATTCTCTTTTAATAGAAGCGTCAGAATTTGACTGGTTCCAGATTTCTGAGAAATTTTCAGTTGACTTAAAAAAAAGAAATCTTGTGTCTGTCGGTCAATCGATAGTTAAACTCATAATTCTTAAATCTTTTTCATTAAACCTTGATTTGATCCTACAATAAAACATCTGAGGTTTGTTCTAAACTAACATTATTGGGCTGGAAGTTGGAGAATCACCAAAACATTGAAAGCGATCAAACTAAAAAATGAACAATAATTCGAGTGGCCCTCCCGTGGCTGCTCTGTCGTGTTCAGATTTTAGTTTTTTAGAAGTCGTCCATGCAAACACTGGACCTCTGTGTCCCCATGTTTTTTAACGAGCTGCTTCTTCTGTCTCGTCCTGTGTCCTGCAGCAGTTCTGTGGTGTTCTGGGTCACACATTTATGGAGTTTCTGAAGGGCAGTGGGGACTACTGCCAGGCTCAGCACGCTGCCTATGCAGACGAGTGAACAGCCAAACTCGCCATCGATCCGAAGCACTTGAGCCACAGGAGGGACCCCGGAACGTTGGCAGGACCGGGACGCCTCCCAGAACCAGCGACAACTCGGCCTGGATGGGGTAACTCCACCCGCTGCACACTGCCCTCGTCGGCCAGAATCAAGGTGGAACCAGCCTTGTTTTTTTATTTTTCTTCCTTTTCTTTAGTTTTATTCCAAAGAAGAGGGTTTTGAGTTACTTTTCTGATTGTCCACCCTTTTTTCGGCCGCCAATTCCCCAAATCTGCCCGTCGCAGCCTTCGTTAGTTACGTTTTCTTTTTTTCAAGCTTTGCCAACCTCGAAGACGACCAGAGGTATTTTTTGTTTCTGGAAGCTCGTTGGACATCTTGCGTTTTGACATTCCCTCCGAGTTCAACTAAGTGTTTACATTGGTGTTTTCACTCCGTGGAAGACGTTTGGGTTTCGTCATTTTTGTTTTTCTTTAACGTTGTCACAATGGCTCGCATGAACAGACCTGCCCCTGTGGAGATCACGTACAAAAACATGAGGTTCCTCATCACCCACAATCCCACCAATGCCACCCTGAACAAGTTCATCGAGGTGAGCTGCGTTTTCATTGGTTAAGAATAGTTAATTTGTTCAGATAGAAGTGGAAAATACAGTCAGGTAGAAGTGTCTGTTCACTTTTAGGAAGCATGAGGACAAAGACCCCAGGCTGGGGAACTGATTTGAGTAGAGATATTGTTACATAAGCACTTTGAACACGTGTTTCAGAAGAAGATAAAACAATAAAAGCAGATTTCATATCTTTTGATCGAGCGTAGTGTTCATGTGTTTCTGTCTGTTTGTTATTTCTCACCAGTCTTCTGATGTTTTTTTTGCAGGAGCTGAAGAAATATGGAGTCACCACTGTAGTGAGAGTTTGTGAGGCCACCTATGATGCCACCCTGGTGGTGAAAGAGGGAATCCAGGTTCTGGTGAGTTCAAACTTAACTAACTAACAAACCTCGTGACTCTTGTTGGATTTTCTCTCTGTGCTGTGGGTTTCCCTCCCGAACATGTGGTCAGTCAAGATGTTTTCTTACAGCGTTATGTAAAAACTCCCATCTATAAAACACCTAACAGACAAAGTGCATTCATGACTCACAGCTCTTTCTCTCTTGTCAACACGATGAGTTTGTGCTCAGGTTTAGTTCATAGACTCACTGTGAGGATTAATATCTTTAAAAACAAGAAGAAGCTGACATGGAACCGAGTTTTTTTACAGATCAGTACATATACATCATATTGAACTGATTTAAAGCGTTGAGATCATGACGTTGCTTCCTGTAGGCGATGGATTAGCTTGTAAACCTGATTTTAATGATTGTATTAAATGTGTGTCTGCAGCTAATTAACCATTATTTTGATCATCGATTATTCTGCAGATTGTTTTATATGAACAGCTCAGTTTTTAAAAAATGATAAAGCAATAAGCCGAGTGTTTTTCTGTCCAGGCAACAGTTTAAAACAAATTCATATTGAATCAATATTCATACGTTTTCGCTTCAAATGTATTTTCTGTATTTTTTATAATTGATGCTCTGCCTGTTTCAATTGAAAGTGTAAAAATGAATTAAAACTAAATGTTTAATAATGTCAAACAAAGACTCTGAAACAGAAGAAAGGAAAAAATCCTCCATCCCTTCATCCCTCCCCCTGCAACAACATTTTTCTCTCCCCGCTGCCGGCTCGGCCCTCGCACTTCTTTTGTTGTGGTTTCCAAGAAACTGGGCCGATGACGTTATTTCCCCTTTTCTCCCTCTCCTGCTCCAGGATTGGCCGTTCGATGATGGAGCTCCTCCCTCCAACCAGATCGTGGACGATTGGCTGAACCTGCTGAAGCTGAAGTTCAGGGAGGAGCCCGGCTGCTGCATTGCTGTCCACTGTGTGGCAGGACTGGGGAGGTGAGCGCTCGTATCCTGCTCTCGTCTTCAGTGATTAGTTCACACGTCAGCTGCGCTCGTAAATTTGAATATGACAAATAAAACTCACACTGGTTTGTTTTCTGCTACAGGAAGAAATAGTTGATTGTTTAATGTCTTTTTTTCACTGAAAAACCTCAAAGATATTCAGGTTTCAGCTTCTGAAATGATAATGAAAGTATTATTTTGATAGATTATTTATTTAAACTCTACAATAAAAGTGTTTACAGTGTCTATATTTCTTGCTGTGATGTAATTTCTTATGTAATCTTCAAATGCGTCATATCTCCATACTCTGTACAACCTGAGCTAGAAAGCTGCGCAACTCAACAAACTATAGGAAATCATTTAAATACTGACATTTTGTGAAGGACGCATTATAGTAAGAAAAAAAAAAACCTTAGTATATTTCTGATATTTCTTATAGTGAAGTGTTGTTTCCTCTGCAGAGCTCCTGTCCTGGTCGCACTCGCCTTGATTGAATGTGGGATGAAATATGAAGATGCTGTCCAGTTCATTCGACAGTAAGTTCACGCGACAATAAAAACTGTCGGAGGTTTTGTTAGGATGAAGGTTGTTCTGAATGAAAAGCTGATGGAGCCTTCTGTCAAAATGAAACAGGATTTCTAAGGTACTCTCAATGGAGACTGGATAGTTTAGGCAAATATGTGCGAGTGCTATGTTTTACAGTTAAGTTAGTCACAGCACAATCTCTAACTTATCATCCACAATATAATTACTGTCCACTAGAACAAAATACTTTTTCTGTGTGACGTAACCTGCATTTCCCACAAACAGGAGGATTTTGCCGCACATGAAACAGGCAGCGATGAATCACAGCTCTAAATAGATGAGATATCAAGATGAGTGACTCAGGTGGAGGAAGGGCTTTTAAAGTACGATGAGTCATCGCTTGATATGTTTCGAGTCGAGATTTGTCCGTGTTCTCACCAGATGATAAACTCGTTCTTACTCTGACCTTTAACGTTACGTTTCTCTGTGGGCAGCCTCACTCTCGTGCTGCACGTAGAGCTGTTGTGTATGTGGATGGATATTTTTGAGGATTTCATAATTTTAGTTAGTTTCTGTGGATGTGAAGGCTACATACACATTTCTACATTTTTGCTCGTAAACACATTTCTGCTTAAGATTCTTCTGGCGCCCGCACTACTCTGGAGTTTTGTGAGCTGCTGCCCTGATTCGTTCAGGCTTCTATCACATGACTCAGGCCTTCCGGAAGAAATCAACGGGCCTCAGCTACCAGAGTAGAACACAACATGGAGAATCAATGACAAGCATCGCTGATACAACTAACAACCGAATGCTTCCTGTCAACTCCTTCACCCCGGTGCACTCGAGCGGACACGCAGAGAAAATGTCATCTTCAAACAAACCGGCGTCAGTGTGGATGTCAAGTGTGAGAGGAGACAATTTCATGCTGATTAAAAAAAACAAACGACTTCTTTCTTTCAGGAAGCGTCGAGGAGCGTTCAACAGCAAGCAGCTGTTCTACCTGGAGAAATATCGTCCAAAGATGCGCCTGCGCTTCAAAGATTCCAACGGCCATCGCAATAACTGCTGCATCCAGTAGAGCCAAACCCTGAGCCACTCCAACACCGCCCACCACCACCCTGCGGAAGAGTTCAGTTCAACCTTGCTAGCTTCTATTCTGGCGGGCTTGTTTTTTCTTAGTCATTGTGTTGAAGTCATTTGATTTGGAAAACCATGTGCGGTAGTTAAACCCCCCCCCGCCCCGCCCCGCCCCGCCCCGCCCCCCTTCAGGCTCCAAACAAGTGTCATAAAAAGACGAATCCAGAGTTGTGTGAACCGAATGTTTCCTGTTCTAATGCCCATTAAAACAAAATCAAAAAAAGGAAGGGCAGCGCTGAGTCGTGTATCTTTGTAAAATGTTGGATTCATTGTTTCTTCTGCAAACGCAACTCAAAGATTTAGATCGGCCGGTGCGTCTACGTTGCCTGAGAATGTGCGAAAAGAAAAAAAAAAAAAAAAGATAAAGATTTATTTCATGTGAGCAGTTCTGTCCCCCCCACTTCAGTTTCAGGATTCTGTTTTCCAGACTGACTAGAAAGAGGTATGCCTTCCTTGAAATCAGATGGTTCATCCATAAATGCCTTACAATCAAAGTGGAACAAAGGCAATCGAGGCAGATTCGTCTCCCGCTGGCATTTGGAAATGGTTTCATTTTTCTACTCGGAACAAAAAAAAAAGAGATAGTTGCCTTTGTCTTGTGCAGGAAGTCTTACACACACCGATGCCCTTTCAGCAACTATTTTTTAATATAAAAATGCTTAATTGTTGCAATACTTGTCAACTGAAAGTCAAGGATTTTCGTCTTTTTTTTCTTTTCTCTATCAAACCATCTGTTTACTAATTAACTGCCATGTCCAAAATGTGATTCTCTTATTTTTCAGTTTATTTTTTCCGCTTCAAACTGGACTTCCAACGTCTGCGATATTTTGTATGCCTTTTTATTTGATGTCCGTAACTTAAGACTTGGATACTTGATGATTTTATGTATTTGAAAAATGTGTACTATTATTATTAGGTTGGCTATTTATACTATCAATGGATGTGTGATTTAGTACTGTGAGCGACAAAGTTGTACCTGTTCACCAACTTGTGAGAGTACATTAAATGATACACTGAAAAATCAGAAATGGACGCGTTAAGTTGTTATTATCATTTCTTTGCATTCACAGTATTTGTTTAAGTACTAATTAGTTCAATTAGTTTCACTTTGTAATCCAGGGACTACATTTTGTCTGACACACGTACGTCCTGTCGTCATCACCTAGGTGGGTATTACTAAAGTATTCCACAGTACTCCACAGTACTCCACAGTATTACTAAAGTACTCCACAGTATTACTAAAGTACTCCACAGTACAACACAGT